AAGTTGCAGATATGCCAAAGAGTTATGCAAATTCTGACAGAAATACCTGTCAAGCACTTTAGCTTCGCAGTGCATTAAAACAGTAGAAATGCGCCAATGGGAGCTCAGTGGATACACCGAGGAAACCTCTGAAAGCAACCGATTGTGTAAAGTTCTATAAAGAACGACTTACCTTTTCCAATATCCACCAGGCTGCCCATAGGATATAAACTTATTTAAACCTCACAAACCTCTGGAACGAAATGGCATATTCTCCGTTGGGAATTTTCTTCTTAATAGACTGCTAGAATGACTGTCCGACAGCATCTTACATCGGATAGCTTCACGCAGTAGCAACAGGTTATTCTAAGGTGAACTTTAGGTATGCAACGAGAAGTACCTCCCATGGATGAGTGCGCTCCTACAAAGGTGGAACTATACACTTGAATACAATTCTTCTGAGCCTGTCGAGTTCCAGCTATCAAGCGCTCACAACATTGAATAATCATCTCTAAGCATTAAGCAAACTTCTACAGAACATCTTTTCTCTCGTGAGCAACATCCTTTGTCTCGTGAGAGAAAGTGTGCGTAATCTTAATACCACCAGACCGCATTGTTACTTTATATATGGAAACATAAAACACTATCTCTTTGGTACATCCTTCTCAATAAAGTGGGGCTCACACACTCTACCGAGGTAAACTATTTACTTCGCTGTAATTCACAAAAAGCGGTTGGCCTGGATTCGGAACCTTTCGGACCACTCTATGAAAGCCATAACCGCTCTATACAAGTACAAGGCAGTTGTGAGGAAAATAGGAAGTCTGATATCACGCAAAGTAGTACACTTAGGGATTCACAAAGCGGTTGTCTTTTTTTATGGTGGCTGATTTTTGGCAAGGGCATATGTACAATATACCAAACAACTGGATAGGTTGCAGATGGCGACTTTAATCTTAATAAAGGAGGCCTTAGACTCCTCAGTAAATCCGCAGAAATTCCACTAAAAATCCCTGCTATCGACCTTTACGGTAAGCAGAAGGTCGGCTGGAATCCAACCAGATTGAACGAAGCTTAGAAATGGGCACACCAGACCTCTTTTCTGCTTTGAAAACAGGCTTTCCACTAGAATTCCAGAGTAGCATATGCTGCTTGGAATACTTGGTCTACTAATTCTTCAAGGTTGGGGCCACCTCTGGCCTTGTAGGTTCTCAACTTCTGCATAGCCTACCCCCATTTATTCTGTTAGCAATATTGTGATTAGGTCTCTATGTACGGTTACAGTGTATCAGCATCTCCTCGAGTGTAGAAAGACCTTGAACGAGTTAACCCCGAAACAGTGATTGAGGTCAGCATTCATTGAAATGGCCAACAACAAATTGCCACAGGATATTGCCTTTTGCCTTCCAAAGAAGATCTTTCCAGGTATGAATGGCAAAGGAGATAATTGATCATTCTATAAACAGTGGTATCAGAGGTAGGTTACTACTGGGAACTGCTTAATGGCGCTACACGATAAACGAATATGATACCCCACGCAGGTATTCCTGGAAATACACTAGGACTGCATAGAGACAAAAATTCTGACTTCTCGACCAAGGATATTTCTTTTTTTTAGAAGGTATAAAGTGAAAATCCTTGATCATTGAGACCGCATAAGCGGTCTTTTTCACTTGGATTCCATTTATGCACTTGTTACGTACGGGTCGCTGGATGCCACGTTTCCTTCCTTTCAACGCGAAGACCTCCTCACACTGCGCCTGCGTCCACTCACATGCTCGGTTCACCACGGGGTACGCTTGCTTCTAGCTCGAGTAAGCTCATCGGACTGTGGGTAAGCTGCCACCCACCACCGCTGCATGGCACCTCTTCAGTTTGATAGGGATACCGCATACGTACCTTTTTGCATTACTCCTACCTGTTCAATACCTTAACCCCTTTAAAGGCTTTTGCTTTTCTATGGAAAGATTAACGAAATAGTACACAACACGGCTAGATGAACCAGTTCAGAGGCCAAAGGGGTCTTGAGCTGCAAAATTCGCCTCTCGGCGACTTGTTGTTCCAATGTCTGGGCCTCCAGTCGAAAGGGCTCACGTAGCTGTGTAAGCCACACTTCTTCTCCAGTCGAATAAAGATAGAAGACTCCTTTCCTATGTCTCTCTCTATTATGTCTCATAACGCTTAAATTCACTATGAGCTATTATGTATCCGAGTCGAAGTGTAGAACTCTCCATACACGAATTCCAAACCTATCATTATAGGCTGATGAAACACTGTATTGCTGGCTAAAGTATTTTAGTACATAACTTCTTTTCTTTTCAGAAAGCCAAGCCTTCTATATTTCCACTGACAACCAGGCGGCTATTAAATCTCTAGGAAAGTTGTCGCTGACTTCAACAGTATTTAGTTACACAATGCCACCGATCTCTCAAAGGGATGGCTGATACATCCAACACTCGCAATGTCTGGGTAAGTGGCCATTGTAACATGCGAGGAAACCGCAAGCCTGACGAACTCGCGCGTTTTGGAAATATATTGCCAGATACATATGTATATAAGGGATACTCTCGACATCCCTCTTCCAATCTGCAAATTTCTACTGACTGAAAAACTCATAGAAATTGCCAATAAAGGCTGGCGAATGCAACCGACCTATCATATTGCCGAAATACACTGGCCAGCCATAGATGTTCAACGTATAGATTGCTAATTAATTTAAAAAGGCTGGAGTTCTTACCGGACATTGTCTGATTGTATTACAATTTTAATTACTCTGGGACGCCTACTGCAGAAGCTGCATGGATCAAGACGAAGAAGAAACTACCCTACATCTTCTCTGCCATTGTCCTGCGCTATCAAAATGGAGAGTAAAAGCTCTTGGCAGCTATTTATTCAACGATCTCGATGACTTCAAAGCGATGAATGTTAGAAGCTTATGCACTTTTTTGGCAAACATCGAGTGGTTCATAAGGGAATGGAAAATAAATAAAAACCTCATGCAGTATTACAAGGAACCCTGATTTCGCTTAGGACTGCCGACCAACCTAACTCTCCTGACCTAAGCCTTCTATCGTATCCTCTCTAATAGGATGATCATTTCCAAGGTTGTATAAGACTCTCACAACCTTTATCACAATAAAAACATAGTAAGTGCGCCTGGGCCACACTGTAGAAGTGCAGCTTACGTTACATTTCTAGTTTCTCTCATAACCAATATAAATATGTACATACATACATACATACACCTGCTTTTGCTTAAGGTTATATTTTTGTCTTTTTTTCAATCTAGATCCCTACATCTACCCTGCTCGTTGTGATTACATTTATGCTATTTTGTTTTCCTTGAGCTTCATTGTTATCTTTATACTCTGTCGATAACAAAATCGATAGTAACATCCATCTAAATATCGACAACAAATTTAGATAACAAATTTGATAAAAATATCGATAACAAAATCGATAAAAATATCGATAACTAATCGATAAAAATATCTCTAGCGAAATCGATAAAATTATCGATAACAAAATCGAAAGCAAATTCGACAAAAATATAAATCACATAATTGATAAAAATATGGATTAAAAAATCGATATCAAATTCTTTAAAAATATCGATAATAAAAACGATAGAAAAATCGATAACAATATATATCGGTAACGAAATCGACAACAAAACATCGATTACAAAATCGATAGCAAAAGTGATAAAAATATCGACAACAAAACCGATAAAAATATACATTTTTATATCGATAAGTCGCGAGAATCCCGAAAATCCTGAAATAGTTCCCATATTACTTCTCTGTGTCTCTATCTATATGCTTTTCCCTATAATTACTTTTATTTTAATCTTTCTTCCTCTATCCTCATCTTTATTTTTATCGGTATCCTCATCCTCATCTTTTTCCTTATATTTATCTTTATTTTTGCTTTTATCTTTATAATTTTCTTCATCTACATTTTCACCTTCACCTTTGTCCTGATCTTCATTTTTTTCCTTTTTTTCTCATCTTTGTTTTTGTTTTTATTTTTACCTTTGCCTTTATCCTTTTCTTTATCTATGTACGTAGTCACCTTTACTTTCATTCCTTTATTAGTCTTTTACTAAGTGTTATTCTTTAACCTTTTATTAGCAAGTTTTTGTTAAATTAATACCATGTGCTTACACTCAAAAAGAAAGAAAGTAAAGAATTCGTTCGGGGACTCCACGCGCGGGAGTTATAAATATCTTGGTTTGTCTTTTGCGTTTTGAAACTCATACGTCAATGGACTGCAACCCAAGGGTAAGTACTTCCACCTTCTTAGGAGTATACCTTGGATGGACCGCAGAAAGGCTGAGTGACATGGCAGATATCAATAGCATGAATTTCCTCCTGGATTTTATTTGGATATGTGCCTATTCATACACCTTTCTGAAATCTAGGTGTAAATTCGCCGGTCCCTGTACTCTCATCATACGCTTTGGTCTATTAATGGACTAGACTTAGGATCCTTAGCTAATGATTTCCTTACAACACGATAACCTTGAAGGGCTTAATAAAGCATAACTTTGGCGGCATTGCGTCTGTGGATTTGGCAACGGAGTTATTTATGAACGGTTTTCGGAAACCCAAATGGGCGGCTGTGAGGTCTCCACGCTTCATGCCACGCTTCAAGTTTAATATAAAAGGAGCAACTGAAAATAATTTCTATCAAAATGTCTGGGCGAGACCAAAATCTAGCGCATACAATTTCAAATTCAAAAGTCCTAGTAGTGATTGCATTTCGGCATCGCCTAATTTTTGGTACACTTGGCTACTCTAGCCGCCTCATAAAGTACTCTCTTTGCATTTTGCGCACTCGCATATTGACGCTGGCGCTCACGCTCTCAGCGCTGCATTGAAAGCGCATCACTGCGGCATTCTCGCATGCTTGCCAACAAAAAAAAAACAAAAAGCAAATGCTGGTGAACTTTTTCCCTATTTACAATACAATACAATTTTCCCGGAGTACTATTTTATCTCCAGCAAAGCACGCAACTGGCTCAGTTACTATTGAGACGTGCGACAAAGTGGTCGATAAAGCGGAAAAAATCGAATTAATAAGCGCGTGCCTGGGAAGCAAAAAACCAACGGCTAGAAGAGGGATATTTTTGAGAAACAACAACAACAAAAAAGCAAAAATGAGAAATTGTGACAAAACAAATATTTATTGACAAACAAGAGTGTGAAAATTTTATTAAAATAAAAAAGTGTAATAAAATCAAAGTTTCTTCTTACTCCAGGCAATTCCGCTATGACGAGTAGTATTCTTTCGCATTTCTGCCAGCTGTGACTTGCTTTTCGTGCGAACTTTTGCGCTAATTAAATACAGTGTAGAGAAATTTTCACGTGCGTATGTGTGTGTGTGCGTGCATGTGCGCGCCAATGAGTATGTCAGATTGTGGTAGAAAGTAAAAGTATTTTGAAGCCGCAAGCTTAATTTGAGTAGGCAGCCAGCCAGCGACGCATTTGTAAAATTTTTTTACGCAAACTTTGGTTTTCGTTGTTTGGGATTTCTCCCCAATACAAGCAGCGCCACAGTGACCAATAGCTGGCAAATACTGACATATGTAAATACATACATATTTACACACATTTTTTAATTGCTTTGAAGTGTAATTCGAACGCGATTTCCGTGCAACCATTTCCGGCGGCGCTTGCTATTTCACCCAAGCGCTTTGTGTGTGTGTGTGTGTGTGTGTGTGTGTGTGTGATAAACGCACGTTTCAAGTGGCCTAAAAGCAAAAACGTGTGCCATTGACGCTGCTGTGCAAACGGCAATTGGCGACAAAGTAGCGTGTGCGCTTTTGTTTTAACGACGTGCTGTCGCCAACGTGATTTCCGCTCGGCCATTGTGAATGGTTGTACTGATTTTTTTCACTTATGTAGTTCATTGCTGACATACACGGCGTATGAGTGATTTTTTTTTATTTTTTATTTTTTTTTTTTGACAAAAGCTAGCCGATTGTTGCAGCAAATCTATACTTATCCATAGAAAACCAAAGCAACAAGCCAATTTGTAACAAGGCAAGCGACAAAAGCGTGCCATCGTTAAGTGTTCCGGTTTTCGATTGTTATCGCTTAGCTGCCGCAAACGGAAGTGATAAGCTACAACTACATATTTAGCATAAAATGACACGCGTGCGACGAATTGTGGTAAGTCGGAGCGGAATTTATTAAGCTTGCGTTTGTTTATCTATGTGTACATGTGACTTTTTCTACTTCCATCCAACTAGAATAAAAAAAAAAAAATAGTTATTGTTATTCTGAATGTCTAAACCTCTGAACATTAGTATGGAAACGCATGCAGAAAACTAATATACTGAAATTTCTACTACAATACTTTTTTGAGACGAAACTTTCCTAAATTTATTTTCTTTCGAGCACCAGTTTGATCTTTAACGCAGGTTTCTCGCTACGGAAAAAAAATCTGTCCAATGATTAAAAATTTCTAAGGGGTGCAACTAAACCTATTAACAAATTTGCCTACATCGTGAGATGGATTTTACTATTTAAAGCAGAAAAATTATTACCTGAATATTTTATAAAATTTAATAAGCTTTAATTTGACTTTTTCCAAAATTTGTTCATCACTTAGTACATTGTCAAACTTTGTTTACAATTTTGAATGGAAATTTTTGGGAGAAAATTTTCTAAAAAACATTTTCAAGTCAATATCAGGTAAATTTAACCTTTTAAAGGTTCCTAAAGGTATTACATATTATATGTATATGTATATTTCAAAGCAAACAAAGGATTACATATTGCTAATCTTGCTAGAAATTTAAGTTGGATAAGAATATACATGGTCAAAGATTTAGCACCAAAATTCAAATTGATATTGTTTGCAACTTGTGCTTATTTTTATTAATTTTCATTTGAAATATAATTCAATCTGCAACAGAAGCACAAATTTCACCATTAATCAAACTTCAAAAAAATTTTATCAAAATTTAATTTTTTTGAATTGGAATTTATAGCAATTTTCATTTAAAATATAATTCAATCTATAACAGAAATAACTCACAAGTCGAAGTTTCAAAGCTTGCACAAATTTCACAAAGGTGCAAAAGGTGCGACTAAAACTGGTAAAACTGTAAAAAAATTAAAAATCGCTCAGAGCGATAGAGTAACATTGAAAAGTACGGAATCGCAACTAGTAATTAAATACTTTTCAACATGAATTAGCAGAGTGCACTTTTCTTTTGTTTACAATTTGGTTGCCAAACACACTACAGCTGATCGTTTGACATATTTACCAGAATTTACCAGCAAAAAATTCTCGGACTAAGACTGGTAGCTTCTGACAGAGAGAGAACCGTATGTACTCTCTTTTTTGTCCTCTCAATAGTCAGAGAACCGAGTACGGGATCGATTTCCAGTAAAATCTGACTGATTCTGACTATTTCTGACTAGTCCGGACTCGTACGGGATCGCAACTCAAAATTAATCAAACTTCAAAAAAAATCTATCAAAATTTCAATTTTTTAATTGGAAATTTTAGAAAATTTCGGCGAATGCAGTTTTGTAGCCCATACAATTTTAGTCTTATAATGGACACATAAACAAATTATACTTTTATATGGAACAACATGCTCAACACCCTCGACAAAAATATTCAAAATACCGCGGTAGTTTTTAGCTATAGGAAATTTGCACTGAAATTGAATGGACTACAAAACTGCATACCCGAAAATTTTCTAAAAGTGCTGATTAAAAATGCAAGCGTTGCGGAAATTCATACGAACAGTCCAGACAAGTACGGAGGTTTCGGGACTCCCCAGATTGGTGGACTACGCACTTACGAAGTCTGCTCCCACTACAGCGTTTACGACCCTCTTGCCCTCAAGAGAGGAGTGGAAACAAGACACTCTAAGCAGTGGCGAATCTATTCATGTACATACAGATGGTTTAAATCCCCAGGGTAGGGTTGGAGGAGGTGTATACTTCGAAAACAAAACTGGGAATCTCCCCTATCTTTCGTGTTCTGGACAGTATCGGTTTTTAATCAAATCCCCCACGAAGCAGTCGACAACCTCCATTGTAGCTATGAAATGCCGCACATCTCCTAACGAGATGGCTGAGTCATTTCGCCCAAAGGAAATATGGGTTACGGTATACTGCGACACAGAGAGTAATTGCAAGGCCGATGAACCGGCGCGACACTTGACACCAAGCTTCTTATCCCCAAGGAGTTTACTAAAATAGCGAAGAGATGACATGACGAAATCGCCGAAACGGCACTTTTGAGAACCTTTAACGTATCTGATAATATTATAATACGTAAAAATTTTGCAAAAAAAAAAAAAACAAAAGTTTAGGTGATTCTAAATTATTTGATTTATCTCGCATACATAAATAAATACTTTTTGAGGAATTTGTCAAAAATTAACTAGTTTTTCTAAAAGCAATTGAAAATAGTTTGTTTAACCAAAATGCATCAAATGTGATATATTTTCATACGAGCACATTTGCACATTCGCAAAAAAAAAAACGTGCACATACAAATATGCACAAAGCTTGTATTCATCACAGACTATTTTTTAAAAACATGTAAACAAATTGAACTATTTGCATTAATGCACACAACAGATAGTGAATTTCTGTGAACGAAAATATTTAGTAGGCAAATACAAATTAAATAAATAGCAGCGCTATCTACATAAGCAAAGTCACACATGTTTGCACAAATATCAAGTGGATATGGATTAGTTTGTGGTCAAATGGTGAAAACCAAATGATTTAAATATTTGCAGTGAAATTCTGTCCAAATTCATTCTTGTCAAATTCATTCTGTCGAAAGTATCAAAATAAATATTTTTCTCTTAGGCTTTTCTAACATTGCTTCGGCAGCCTTAAATTATCAAAAAATTTCGCTACTTAACAAAGTCCAATATGAATATATTTCAACAACAATGTGGATAAAAATTGAAATTTTTCCTAAAAAAATGCGTAAATTTAGTTAACCCAAGACCTGTCTCTCATTCTAATAAAATGGAGATATTCATTTCTACATCTAGCTGCTTGTTCATTTTCAGTCACTCTCGAACGTAAGTCGGCCATACCAAGAGCACTATTATCATTTTCGGTCACTCGCTGGTCATCAGTGTGGTTTAGTCCTGTTAGTTTTTATTTGTTTGTTTAATGTTTGTTATTAGTTTTTTTTTTGTTTGTAAAAATACAGCACCATATATAACAAAAACCAAATAAAATAAAAATTAATAAAATAATAAAATTTTAAACTTTGAAGAAAAACTATAAAAATTCACAAAATTTTGCAACAACAATTTTTGTCTTAAGATAGGATGAATGAAATGTTCAAAATAAAGTGGTTTAAGAAATCTTGATATGGAAAATATTTTTAAAGAGAGTTGCCATCTGCTTGAAAAAATTAATTCAAGTAAATTAATAAGATTAATTAAATATTACAATTTTGGTATAAAACGAAAACGCCTTAAAAGTATTTTTGAGTTGTTACTTCATAGCCTTCATCGCAAAACACTTAGAGCCTCATTCATAAAAAATATAATAGATTTAAGGACTTTGTGAGGCGAAATTTTCAAACTAGTATAAGGTAAATTATTGACTTTTCTCATGGGAATCTAATTTATAGTCTATTTATGTCTCCAGTCTACATATCGCACACTTTCTTCAGAGGTGTACTAATTCACTAATATACTTTTGCTTTTCAATTTTACCGAATTAAATTTTTCAAGTAGGTGGCAACCCACTTCACATATTTTCGGCAGTAAACTCTCTCACACCTCTTTAATATAATACCCATATTTTAATATTTCATTTATTTTATCAATTTAATTGAACAAAATTTTTCTAACATGTGGCAACCCTTCTCAAAAAAATTTTCACCGGCAAAATTTCCTAAAGCTCCTTAGTTAGATACCTCTATTGAAATATTTAATTTATCTTTTCAATTACATTAAAATTTTCAAATAGGTGGCAACCTTCCACAAAAAAATGTTGGCTGCAAGCCTTCTTAAACGTGTTTCCCTTGACAGCCACATTGGCAATATTTATTTTATTATAGCAATTTACTTAAACTGCAATTTTCCGACAGTGGGCAACTCTCTTTTTGTTTTCTTTCTATATTTTAAGTTAGACCTCGAGCAATACATCGGCGAAAACTGCATTTATGCTGCTTAATGCCGTTTCTAATGGAAAAGTATGTGGAATAACAATAAATTTATAGCTACTATTTCAGATATCATCGTTTTTAAAAATCTTAAATCCGATATGGCAGTTTTCTCATTTTTTAAATAAAGTTATTGAGATATGAACTTTGCAAATGACGAATTTTGTGTAAAATGAAAGGAAAATCATCAGAAAATCAAGGAAAAATTTTTTTTTTGCCTGAACTTATAGCAGACGATCGCAACTATGGCTCATTTACCTATTTCAACCGTCTATTAAATGCCCTATATAATTACAATTACTGTTATTAATTTATAATTTAATTCAAAATTCACTATAAATAAAGAAATTCCTTATAAATAATACAATAAATCATTTATTTTGCTATGCAAAAATTTTGTGTCACTGAACTGCAGAAAAGTCACTAAAAAGCGCAATTTTAAGGCTTTCTTAGTTTTAGAAAAAATGATAGTTGTCAACTGAAAAAGTTTAAATTTGATATAGAATTCAAAATTAGTGAGTCTTAGCACTTAGTAGGTTTTATTTTTGGGAAATTTTCCACTTCTAGTGAAACTGACAGCTGCCAAAATTTCGACTTGACATAATTTTCGTGATTAGCGTGTCTCAAAACTAAGTGGCATTTGAAAAAAAAAAAATTGTTTTTAGTTTTTGATTGGTAGAGAAATTGTCATTTCCACTATTAGCAGTCGTTCCTAGAAAATATTTTCTTCTCATTGCGTTTCGGCGCCTGATTCTAACTCCTCCTCTTCGCCTTCTCATAATATGAAGTTTTTCCAACGTCATATGTATCTACCCTGCCAGCCAAAAGTGGTGAAAAATCTGGTGAAACCGCGGGTTTCGGTCACTTCAAAACTGGTGACATTTGTATGGGCGGTGTGCAGATTGTCACCACTTTCCCCCTGTACGTGTGAGCCTTGCATCACTGTCGCACTCATTCAGATACTTCGTAAGGAAAACATATAGCTGCACTCGTCTAGCATTGCCCT